CAGACAGAGTTTCGGTAATTAACGAAACAAAAGAAAACGTTCTGCCTGGCTAGGGGCAGGGCGACAAAACTATCATGATAATTTAGTTTCTAATCTTAGCCCTAGGGGAAACAGCTTTCCAAAGCTGACTAACCAGTCTACCAGGAAATAGAAGTTAAAAAATATCTAGAAAGAAGTAAAACTTAGAAAGACAGAGAGAAATAATTCTGCTATGCACTTTCCATCAGGTGTATTGAGATTTACTTATAAGTTTTACTGCCATGTATGCACACTGGTCACTAATCACACGTCAATATTATAGGTATAACTGATATCCTATGTCAGAGGCGATCTTCCAGATGGGCCTTTACAGGCCTCAGCCATGTAGCTATAGATGTTGGCTCCCAACAGTTATTACCTTTTTGATAATAATTCTATGACAGAAAGTAATGGAGTAATGTACTTAATATACTCATGGAAAGAAAATGTGAGCCAAGGCTTTTATATTCAGCAAAATTAATCTTTTAATATAAAGACTACAGAAAATTGTAACAGGCATGCAAGAACTCAGGGCATATTGCTTCCGTGAGCACTTGCTAAGGGTTCTCCAATGAAATTCACTTTAGACTGGGGATACATATTTACACATAGGCTGGTGGTAAGTGTTGACTATGTATTTGCCTTTAGCTCTAAGAATAAATAATTGTTATAATAAAGGTTATAACATAGTAGTGAATATATATTTTAAAATAAAGATACAATATAAGTATCATAAATGGGGTTGTAAGATTGGGCGACTTCTGGTTATGAAAAGATCAGTGAAAACAGTTCAGAATAAAAATTGGGTATATGTGTAAAAAAACAATAATTTTAGGGCCCTGGAAATTGACCAAAGATAAACATAAAATTCAGAAACATTCCTGCTTAGTAAAAACAGCTTAGTCTCTCTCAGGTCTCCCCCACGCGTGTGTAGTTTCCTACTCAGGCCACAATGTGTGCAGAGCCTTAGTAAATACAGCAGGAGTCTTCAGTTTTGTTGCCTATGGCTCCTTCCCTTCCCTTCCCCAGCCTAGTCATTAAGAGATGTAGTTTTCGCCCCTGAAGCTGGCTGCAAAAACCAGCAGCTTCTACCCTCCTGCCCCCCCACAAAAGGCAGGCTTAAATTAGGTCTAGGGGTGAAAAATCCTTCCCTTTTTTCCTAACAGGAACAAATCCAGCAGAAAAGAAAGAGGAAAGTCTGATGTTTGGTTAGTTTGAGTTTGTATTCCCTTGTGGGGTGAGTGGCTGCTATGCTTGTTTCCTCCAAAACTCATGCTAAATTTGGCTGCCATTGTGACAGTATTAGAAGGTGGAACTTTTGGGAGGTGATAAGGCATGAGGGCTCTACACTCCTGAAAGGGATTAATGCCTATATAAAAGGATGAGTTTGTTCCCTTTTTGCCTTACTACCCTTCTGCCTTCTGCCGTGTGAATACGGTGTTCCTCCACTCCAGGAGATGCAGCAAGATAAATTTCTATTCTTTATAAGTTAGTCAGTTTGTGATATTCTGTTATAGCAGCACAAAATGAACTAAGCAGATCAGATAAACATTTAATATGGAAATCAAAGAGACATAGACCGAGATAAAATCTTGACACATTCTGGCCTAACTAGGAAACAACACATGGGTGGGGGAGACCTGAGAGAGCCTAGCAAAAAGCAAATGCCAAGGGAGTCTGGAAAACTGGCTGCAACCTTGAATGCACTCCCCATATCCCACACTAATCTATGTGGAGAGGGTGGAAGCCTTATGGGCTTAAGGTGTTTGAGCACAACTTTGGCCAAAATCACTGGTGGACCAATTTTTTTTCATGAATCACCTAAAGTCATCTAGAGTACTGTCAGTTACATGTAACACATT